CTATTAGGCCCAGATATTTAGTTTTAATACACCACTTAGGACGAAATTGAATTAGTTCGGACTACCCAGGATGAAGAGGTGGTGTAATTATATGCTTATTTAGGAGTCCCTTCAACTATTCCTAAGTTAAACCTTTCTATATGACTTAATTATGATGAATCACGGTGGCTTCAGTAAAATGTTATCTGCCCACCTTTACTAATTCTCACACACCTAACCCTGCGTGTAAATATTCGTCTTAAGCTCGCCGTTAATCAGCGATTTCTGCGGTAATAATCAGCATGACACAAAGACCTGCTGCCATGCATTGTAGGCGGATTAGAAATGGCGCACTACTGCATTGACCCTGTTGCCATAATTCGATAACAGAGGAGATTCTCCAACGGTAGTGTTTGTTGTCACATCTACCACTACATATCCTAATCTACCGGTATGCAAAACATAAACCATAACTATCCAGTATTGCACCTGAAAATGATCAACAAATCTTCTCTGATAGATTAATACTTTTGGATATTAGTTTAAGTGTATTCATTATGGTTCCAATACATTCAATGAGCAGGATTAAACAACTTCATATTTTGTATAAAAAACAAGGCCAAATGCATGACGTGCGTGACGGGCCATGGGTATCCACTGATGGCACTGAGGTGTTTTAACCAAAACATGACAGCATAGCTTGCACTCCGTAATGAAAATTTCATCGAAGCATCACAATATCAGGTTTTCATTTCAATGTGTGTGAGGAACCTATTGTGGCGTAACTTGCAGATTGTCCATATGGTACCCCATGATATAAGCCAAATGATAGTTATATTAGGTAGCTTAAAGAGGTCAGAGATCTGTTAAAGTGGAAAGCTGTGCTACACTTGAAATAGAAAACGCGTTGCGGTCAACAAAACTGTGGGTCGGTGTGAGCACCTCAAATGTATTTTTAACCGGGCAGCCGTATTACAAATCTGCAAACTCATTTTATGCATGTCGGCACCCGGGATATAATGATGGTAATTTTGATAAGCTCTTGAGTTCCCTCCATCCAAAACGTAACAATGTGCTTTTGCAACTGCCCACTTATAACTGGCAATAAACATTTGACATAGTGCCACAACACATGATTAGCAACAGCATAACGAAGGAAGAGTCAGGAGAAGAGATGCGAAGATCCATGCGTTGCGTGGGAATTAAGCTTCCCGGTTGCGCAGGCCTATGAAAAGATTGCCTTAAGCGACATCACCCCAAGCTTTTGGTTATAAATACCTGAATCACACGGCAGCGAGGCGAAAAACAAAGACGATTCACAGTCACGATGCTCATTGCTCTTCTTTGTGTTTGGTTGCAGTCCACAAAGAAGCCGGTGGCCAGAAAGTTTGACTATCCGCCCTTCGTTTTACACTCACCTTCATTTACAGAAGTGAGTGATTACTAACCATATGGCCAGTCACGTTGGCTTTGACACAGCGCCGTACGTGCTTAGGTATTATTTGATGGGGAACTTGGTTACCAGCCCAGAACTCCCTACGCTCTGAAAAGCTGCTGATTGTCCGCGACTGCTCATTTATCTTGCCTGCAAAGCATACCAGACTTATTCGTAGTTGGATCCACAAGCAAGTCATTCCCCAATCCGCAACCTAGGGACGCGCCCGATAGTGTACACCACCGCCAAGGTAGGTGCATCGTAGTTATGAACAAATCGAAGCAACCTAGGGTTAGATCGGATGAAGTATATGCAAGGGAACAGGTGTTATTTGCATAGTAATAGACTGCAGTTAGACATCGTAAGGTGCCAATTACTTTGCTCTCTTTTCTCAGCGAATATAAACACTTCCGTCCTATTGCCATTCCGGCGAATATCCCAACATCGATTGCCTATAATGGAGGGCAAATACATTCGGTTGTAACCAGCAATAGCTACTAGTACGACAAAATTAACCAAGAGATGCGGCGAGCAGTTGATCATGTCTAAGCAGAAGAGGAAAGTTGGGTTTAAAAATATACCATACTAAGGTAGAAAGAGGGAAAACAAGAATACGCTGCGAGTAATCAAACAAATGGACCACACTTGATTCTTTATACTACAATTTACCTCTCTTCTTGAGGGTCACTTAATGGGTCGCCCAAATCAAGAATTATCAATGAATAATAAATACATGAATAGGTTATTCCTGGTAATGCGGGGCACGCATGCGAAAGCATGATCACGATAATACCAAAAGTGTGGTCGGTAGTTTTATAACAATCTAGCAAGCTAAGCAGTAACTGGAGAATTTGTGTTTTTATATATGTAAGTGTAGTATTAAAGTGTATGGAGAATGAACTGTTGGAGTGAGTCAGAATGCGTAAGTTTGTCTGCTGTGTTCGCCATCGTATGATAGGAGCAAAGGAACTCTTTGAAATGGATAAGGTTCGTGAACTGAGTATTCTCCGGAACAGGAAGAAGCAGTGACTTGATTTAGTGGCGGGTCACAACCGCCACGTCGTAGTGTGGTTAAACCGACATTTGTGGTCTTTTATGGTAAGTAGGCTTGCCAGACCTACTCGCACTAAGTCATGGAACACTGCCGCCGAACTATTAGCTGGAACGAGATTAACCCGTACCACCCAGCTAGTACAATGTGGATGTTGTTCGGCTGGCCTGGTTAAGAAACACTTTACAAGCCGTGTTAGTGGGTCTGGAGGGGGATTGATAAAAGTTAATGAAAATTTGTAGTTATAAGTTTTCCGGCTAAGAAATGGGCTTATCATTTTTAATGTATTAGTTATGCACTCTGAATGTTTCAAACAATTCAATAGGCGGGAAAGTAATTTCCCCAGGAGTATGATAGCCAGTAGTGATAGGTAACAATATGTACTTGGAGAAGATGGTTATCTAACCGACTTTACACACAACCAATTCGGTGCGACAGTTCAATAGTCGATACACGCGAATGGAGAGGAAATTGCTACGGTACTCCAGATGGCCTTATTGTTCTGCTAAGTTCTAGAGTGTCCTCTAAGTTAAGCCTTCCTACTGTGTTGCAGGAAAGAGCGACAACCTTATTTAGATAGTGTAAAATAGAATAGGCCATAATCAATTCGCTCCGTAGTCGGCGATAACTCCTGCTGAATGACACGAAACCATTTCACCTCTGCTCGTTTGGGATGTGACTCATTATAATGACGTATTTGGACGCCCGATGTTTGGGTTGGTATATTACAGTATGCTTCAGCAATGGCTATCAGGCTTTAATTGCGTATTCGCTATGGGGGTGAACAGGCGCATTGAGCATCCGCCTGAAAACGGAGGTGCCTATTCGTTTCAACGCTAAACGTAACAAGCCGACGTGTTGGTTTCCAGGTTTCGAAGCATTTTGTAACTGCGTGGGACAGCCAAATATTCCCTGAGCAAGCACGCCAAAGTCGCGTTTAAAAGATGCTCGCTACGGCACTTGAGTCTTTAGCCAATAGCAATAGGTATTCCGGTGTCTTTTGGAGGGTACCCTGCATTTGCTCCCGTTAAACTGTAACAGATGTGCACTTGACCTCTGAAGTACACACACACTAATCTAAATTCTGTTCGGCATACACCTGAATCCGGCGTCATAAAACATTGGGAAATTCCAATTGCTTTTCTGTAAAAGCTCAGTAATATACACCAGAAACATTCATGACCCTAGAACTGAGCTCAGAGTCTTAGCATACTTGAATTTTGTGAAGTTGGATAATTAACTCCGGAATCTGACCACCAATTTTCGTTACAGGAGAAGGTTGGCAATCCAGCTCAAGAGAGGTTCAACGATCCCAAAAAATGACTATGCAGAGGAGTATTCGATGATCCAAACGATCTAATGCCTTCGACAAATCCAGATGATTACGGTAACGACTTTGTCAGACATTGTGAAATCGGCCCAACTATTCCGTGCGATTACTAAAATAGTTGTAAACGATTGCTGTCGACGAAAGTTGTGTTGCTTGTTATAAGTAAAATAAATTTTCACGAAAACACCGACGCATCGGTAACAATAGATTCCATAAAATTAGAAATGCTGGTAGAAGAGGTACTTGGCGGCGGTTGAGATATCTGTCCTACTACCTTCTATATACACAGGAGTTATTATGCTAAATTGCCACATAGCATGAAACTAGTTCTTGTCCAATCAACGCTGAAGGAACTAAAAAAGGCTTTGTCAGTTGTCTTAATTCTGCTCCCGGTTCCGCCGGGCAAATGGTGTCGACTGCAGAGTAACCGTGATTGAGCAGAGACGTCAGCTTCTGAAATACAGCCCACGTAATGGAGTTCAGACGTCATCTGCAGATAAACAACAACCCAATCAGTTAAAGGCCTCTTGTTCTGCTCCCACAGTTCATCACTCTTTTCGCTGAAGCGTCATAATCTCATGGTTTCCCTCGTACCGGAGTCAAAAAATGAAAACCCTCTTTATCATCACGACGTTGAGTTCTTCCAGGGTCTCCTCTATAGACTGTTGGATGTAGGCAAAGACTGTGACGAGTAAACAAGCAATCCGACTTGGCCAGAAAACTAACCACTCCTGTCGACCTCTGAGAAACACCATCGCAAATCCCAATATGCCACCGATCATACTGTCTCGTCTTTCAAGCTGAAAGGCATAAAATTTCACATCCGCGGAGAATGTGAACCCGAAGACAGGGATCGTTAGAAGACTGCGATCATTGAGCTCAAATGCCGTACAAAGGAAAGTAAGACTGATTTAAGGGGACGGTTAAGCTGAAAAATCTGAAAAATCGTAATTTTTGACCATTTTGGAAAACCATACAAATGTCAACTGCAGTCATCCTAGAATATAAATCTGCGAACCATTTTTCTGTTAGCATCTTTTGTAATGCAGTATTTCAGCATTTTGTGAAGCATGTGTGACTTGTTTTTCTATGTATTCAAGCTCATTATATATGCGTAAATTTTAAAATGTTGCATCTCGGCTTGTAGACGTCCTAGAAACTTCATTCAAGTTGCATTCGATTCGGCTTTGCAAGGCCTATCTGTTGTGCCCTCAGTGTAGACAGCCTCTGGGCAAGAACGAATCTTATGTGACTGAAAACAGAAGCTCACTGGCCTCAAAGTTCACTTTCCACTGTCAGTGTCAGCATGAAGTATCATTTATGTCCTCTGCAAAATGTGGGAAGACTTATGAAGTCAATGGAAGGTATCCAGTTGCTCTCTTTGCCATAGGAAGGAATTATAAACATGGCAAGAAATTTCTTGGAAATATGAACATGCCTTCAAATATGCATAAAAGCAGTTGGTCTCTTCATAAGAAGAAGATTCTTCATGCTACACAGGCCATTGCCCTAGAAAGTATGCAGAGAGCTGCAGATGAGATCAAGGAAAAGAAAGGAGAAAATATAACAGTCTCTTGTGATGGCACTTGGCAGAGAAGGGGGTTCCAGAGCAAAAATGGCGTGGTCACAGTTCTCACAGTGGATGGCCATAACTCGAAGGTTCTCGACACCTCAGTTTTGTCAAACTATTGCAACGCTTGTGCAAAAAACCAGAGGAATAAAACTGAGACCGAGTTTCAGGCATGGAAGTGTTCACATGTACAAGACTGCGACAAGAATCACAGTGGGTCGGCAGGCAGCATGGAGCCAGCTGGAGCACTAGAAATATTCCGCCGAAGTGAGCAATTACATGGACTGCACTATGTTTCTTTTCTTGGAGATGGTGACAGTAAATCTTATGCATCAGTATCAAATGCAGAACCACCTGTGTATAATGATGTGAACATTTCCAAACTTGAGTGTTGTGGGCACGTGCAGAAGAGAATGGGGCGACACCTGACCAATAAGGTAACTGAGCTGAAAAAAGAGACCTTTATACACAATGGCAAGAGTGTGCAAGGAATCGGTGGGCGAGGTTGTCTGACAAAGAAGGCAATGTTAAACATTCAAGGACATTATGGGGCTGCAATAAGAAGAAATACTAATAATGTGCCTCAGATGCAAAAAGATATATGGGCCATATGGGAGCACCGCAACCGTGATCACACTAACTGTGGAGACTGGTGTCCTTCCAAGAAGCAGCCAGCTGGAGACTCTGACAGGAATGCTCTCCCTCCTTATGTGTGCAAGGCTATCAGGCCTGTTTTTGAAACTCTTGCCAGTGAGACATTACTGTCAAAGTGTGCCCATGGAGGAACACAAAATACAAATGAAAGTTTTCACAATTTAATTTGGCAAAGGTGTCCAAAGGCTGGTTTTGTTGGAAGGCAAAGGCTTACTCTTGCAGTTGCTGATGCTGCAGTGGTTTTCAATGATGGAGAGAGGGGTAGGCTGCCTATATTTGAGAAGTTGGGGATGTCTACTGGATTGTATACCAGACTGTGTTGTAATGAACTAGACAGAACAAGAATTCATGCAGCAGCTGCCGGACTTCTGCCAGCTGAACGACGAGCACGGAAAGTAGCGGCTTCAAGGGAGTGTGAAGACATCGAAGATTTCTATCTTGCTGGTGCCCATGAGTAGTCCAGGTTAGTTTTTCTACGTAAATCATATCATGGGACATCACCAAAATTTGTATAAATTACCGATATGCCAGAAAAGTTTAAATGACTTTCATTTTTCATGTACTTCAACTTTAAAGCCATTTTTCTCAAAACTGCGTTTTTTCACTCTTACGTCAGCGTTCTGAGGATAATTTCAAAACTAATGGTCCAAAGTCAATAAAATTTGGAGGAGATGCTCTTCTTTAGTTTCTGCATGGAATAAACTAATTTTAAGTGTCCTACACTTGTGGTCAACTTTTAACCTCAGTTCAGATTTTTATGCAAATCTGAACATCAGTATTGGAAGATCTAATTCAGATACAGAGTTGAGTATAGTTTATTCTAAAGCTGAACTATATCTAAATAACTGCACAAAATTTTAGCTCTATACATAGAATACTTTTTTGATGGGACCCAGAACGCCACAACAACCAATTCGGCATCACTAATTTAGGTACCTTACTAAAATGTGAATAAAAAAATAATAAACACACTTATCTTTATTTCTCTATCATATATTATTTGCATGATAAATAATGATATTCCCTGCAAAATTTCATGAAGATCTGACTATATCTAGACATATATATCGAGCTTTGAAAAACACACAATTTTTGACTTTTTCAGCTTAGACCCTCCCCATAAAAATTGTAAATTTTTGGGTGATCAAGAAGGGCGTACCAACTCGTATCAGGCACGTCCCCCAGTACCTTCCAGGACCTCCGTGTGGCATTCATCAACGATGTGCAGCCTAATGAACAAATGTGAGGAACTGTGTCGCTTCGCTGTCTCGGAGCGGCCGGATATTTTAGGAGTCGCAGAGACTTGGCTGAACTCCGACATCATACCCCAAGAAGTCGTGTTGTCAGGATAATATTGTTTCCGATGCGACCGAAAATCAAAGGCTCACGGTGGTGTTCTGTTGTACATAAAATCGTCACTATCTCGCAAACTTACTAGCACCTATCTGAGCGAGAATAGTTTATGCGAGCAATCGTGGCGCACAATCCGCCTCAGACGCGCAGAACTAACAATGGGTGTTCTCTACCGAAGCTTAATAAACCGTTATTGCAATTGGCTACCACGTCCACAGAAGCACATAAGCCGCCCTCAGTTCTTACTGATGGGGATATAAATGTACCTAAGGTACTTTGGCCAGACGTTCGATTTCGTCCCCGTCATGGCAACAATGAGGCTCAATTCGGTAAAATGACTATTGAAATCGGGGCAACGCAACATGTCATCCAACCGACGTGCGTAACTCCGCACTCGGCATGTTGTATGGACCTAATGTTTACGAGCTGCGAGCAGAAGCTGAACGAGATCAGAGTCGTCGAACCTCTGAGAAGAGTAATCACTGCTCCATTGTGGTATGCTTAGAACATTCCTTACCATATTACAATCAACGGAAGCCGACATGCAACTATTGGAAGACGGACTTCAACGGGTGCATCCAAGTCGTAAGTCAGACTGATTGGACACTACTAAATGATGCGTCACTTGAGGACTGTTGGTCATAAATGAAGGAAAAGCTTAACTCGCTCTGCACTCGGTTCGTTTTCCTTAAGTATTCAAATATCGGACCCAGGAAACCGCATTGGTTTGATACGGAATATAGACAGTTAGCGCAATGGCGTCGCAAAGTTTGAGGTAAAAACATCAGATCGCCTTGTAATGAAGATCACACGGTTTACGAGAAACAGCATAAATTATGTAGCGCCGCAAAATAAAGAAACGCCGGCTGTTCGAAGAGGAGCTATCATCCTCGGTTACGACTGCTCTCAAAAGAATATTTGCCTAATTGAAACGTCAACTGAAATCCGAGGCGACCGGGCGGTCTTAGAGATCTTAAACGGAAAGGCGCTCAATGCAAGCGCAGAGGGCGTGGACGCCTTGGCTACGCACTTTCTCACTGTATTTTCCAGTTAACCGGTGGCGGTCTCGGTAGCGGCACACGTTGCGCAAGTCTTGCTCGACATCCTACCATGTTATGTAGTCGAAGTGTATCAGCTACTCTTCAACCTCGATGGTGCAAAGCCACCCGGAGCAGACGGACTTTACTCACTAATACTTAAGTCCCTAACGATTATCATCTCACCAACCGTGACAAACTTATCCAATACCTCGCTCTATGAATGATCTGTCTCCGAAGACTGAAAATGCTCGATAGTGAGACCGCCTCCTAAAGATAGTGATTCGAGTAAACTTGAGAACCATAGCCCGATCTATTTTACTTCGGTACTATCCAGATTGCTGGAGAAGGTGCTCTCGTTCTTCGAATCGATGGACGTATTGACGTTAGCGCAACACGTATTTACGAAAAGGCGATCCTGCTTCACCGCTTGATGTATGCAAACCATCAGTGGGTAAGAGTTCGCAAAAAAAGTAAGGGGCTTGGCGTGATGTATATCGATTTAGTAAGGCCTTTGACAGAGTAAACCACGAGGTACTCCTTCGTAAACTAAGGACATACGGAGTGGGTGGCACGTTACTCTAGTAATTACACGAGTTTATTTTGGGACGAAGGTTTATAGTACAGATCAATGACTAAAATGCAGACTGGTTCCCATCAACCAGTGGCATACCTCAAGGAACCGTAATTGGGCCAGTATTATTTCTTATTCATGTCAACGATTTGCCGCAGAAGCTCCAGTCACGATGTGCCCTATTTACAGATGAGATGAAAATCTGGAGGATCCTTGAGAACCAGGACGACTGTGTTCACCTCCAGCATGACTTAGAACTACTGTCAACAAGGTCCGCTAAAATGTAACTCCCTCTTAACGGAAGCAAGTCGGAGTTCCTCAGTATCACCAGACTTCCAGTCAGTGGCTCATACAAGTTGGACAGCCCGTTGCTTCACCCCAACACATCTGTCAGAGACTTATGAGTTATCTCAAGACATGATATGAGATCACTAGAGAATACAGAGAAACTGTACCGTGCGGAACTTCGTATGCTATAAGCATTAACGAGCAGTTTCTCCACATATTCAGAAGAAAACGTCTCTCGTATATTCACCTCGCTCATTAGACCATTCCTTAAAAACGATGCCCCAGTTACCATCCGATAACCAAATGGAAAACTAAAATCCGGGGAAAATATAGCATATGGCAACTAGAATGAAACCGAGTCAACGAAGGCTTCCGTAGGAAAAGAATGAAAGGCTCGGACTCTACACACTAACCTATCGCCAAGTAAAAATTGACCTTATTATGACCATATTATGAATTAAATCGCTTCCCAATATGGCGGTTAATATTTTACCTGCGGGAACCATTTAACAACCAAGGAAACGGTTACAAACTCAGGGTCCCAGCATTAACAAGTTATGATATCAGCTTTGTACCGAACGAAGCATCGTAAAGTTATGGACTGCACTACCAGAATGTTTGATAGATACCGATTCTTGAAGTGTTTTAAAACCCGTATCGACGATTATGTCGGAAACCTGTGCCTTTTTCGAAAGGATGCAAAAACAATGCCAAAACAAGACATCGCATGCCCGGAAATAATGACACCACTACAAATTCCTAACCGAAAAAGGGATAGACGATTAAGGGACAAGACACAACTGTTAATGATTCACAACTAACTGTTTTGGTTTTTCGTATTTCGATAGAGTTTTCCAGAAACCTTTATAATTGATCTTAAATACAGGCTCAGTCTCAGTGAGTACTGGAGTCGCGAAAACGCCTGTTGGACGATGGCCTGATGAAAATTATTTCTATAAGGGAGCACACTGCATCCTTAACAGGTTCGCCGGTTTTATAACCTTTCTAGTTGAACCAACAGACGTCCAGAGTGGAGGAATTTAATGTAGCACGTAAAAACGGCTACGGACTCATTCATGTAGCAGTTAATGTTTAGCGCTAAACCTTTTCAAAATATCCCGCTGATGTTCGACTACGCTATCTTCAAGCAGTAGGTTGCAATGCATACGATAATCTGTGAATTTGCCCCCGTTATCTTGTGTTAGTGATGATTCCTAATCTCGCTAGGCTGCGTTACGTACACACACGCAGTTTCCAGTTCTGCTCTTTACGAGAGAAAAGGCCTTAGGCCCATTGCTACCCATTATTTCTGAGGCGTCTGTTAGCAGTTGAGTAAACTTGCTGACGAATTCAAGCCAAGTGAATTCCAGATGCTATCAGCGAGGAACGATCAGGTGGTGGCATTAACGAGCTGGGCTAAGCAGTCCTAGTGTGCAATGGTGCGCACTATATTACATTTTTCGGGACGATTATCTGCATAGCAAATGAAATCAAAACTGATGACCGCTTGATCAGTGAGACCCAATGCACTATAATACCACCTGGTGAAGGCGAGATCCAGCACAGATGATCTGTGACTTGTTCTGAAAAGAGTGGACAAAATGAGGTGAGTGTAGAATGGAACACTCATTTTGAGCTGTTGCTGATCTGCATTGAAATTGCCCCTTAAGGAGCCGGGTTTATTAAACAGTGTACGCTTAATTTAAGCATGATAGGGATGTGATTGTGCTTTTGCTTTAGACTGTATCTTTGAAGTTGTCTCTGGATGGCAATCAATTTCAAATGTGAAGTTTGCAGGTCAGAACACCAAAGCTAATACCCAAGTTTCTCAGCCATGTGGTTGCAGGCCGCACCAAAGAGAACGGGCGAATCAGAAGTCCGTATCCGCAACGGCCTCGCAATATAGAGCCCTCCGGTAATAAAAAGCACCCCTCCTCGTTTCCCATGTTTGTCGCTACGCATGAGTGACATGCCCAGCAGCGATATGTCTGCATCTATAATAATAGTTTGCAAGCAGTATCCGTGACACCCATGATATCGCACTGCTTTGAAAATTGAAATTTCTGGTTGGGTCAGCTTATGAAAAAGAACTTCCTCGGTCTCTAGGAACACCTAGGTAGCTCAATGATTCAAGTATGTTAGCGTTGCGAAAGACACGACGTCGGCGATTATAACTTTTTTATGGGATGTTTATGATACACATTCTGCAACTTGATTGGCCAAGGTACATACCATTTGTTGTCCGGGCATACTAGAGAATCACGTGACTGAGCGGCTAATTGTAGCTCCTCTCTAATCGCTGGGAAGTTTGCCTTTTCAGGTAGCCTCAAGCCTAGTCTCTGCAAGGCTTCGCAGCTATTAACCACGGTTTTAATGTAAGGATTTTCCGATGTATCCTCCAACGTTCTAACATTTTATTTGCTCTCTTCTGTGATTGAAGTCTTAGTGTTAGGATTCTTGTGCGCATTCTGTAGAATTTGGCGAACGAGGTAATCCAATTGTGGCGCGCTCGCGCCGCAAAGTTATCCAAGGAATGAGTTGCACAGATGAATCACTAATGCTCAAAATAGGGAGTTCCGTACTTTCGATTTTTTGGTAGAAAGACCTATTAGGCCATTAATAAGGACTGTGCCTAGTAATTCCAGCTAACTGTGTCTTC